ATACGGCTTAGCGAGAAAAACGAAAGGGGAAACCGACTTATCCAATTTTGTCGGGAAGAAGATTTTACCATTGCTAATACCTGGTTTAGACTTCCCCCGAGACGAGTTTATATGTGGAAGTCACCTGCAGATAAAACCAACAATATCATCAGAAATCAGATAGACTTCATTCTCATTAACAAAAGATTCAGGAACAGCTTGACTTCGGCAAAGAGCTACCCAGGAACAGACGTCTCATCAGACTACAACCCATTAGTGGGCCAGATAGACCCCAAACTAAAGAAACTCATCAAAAGTGATCCTAAACAGAACCTGGATTATGACACTCTAAAAGATCCCGTAGTTCGTCAGAATGTAAGAGATGTAATGAGAGAAAAACTAGAAACCGCTAAACAAGAACAGAGTGTAGAACAAAAATGGAGTTATATCAAAGACGTCATGCAAAATGCGGGAAAAGAACATCTGTGAAAGAAAACAAGAGCAAAAAATAAAGAATGGATAACAGGACATACTGCAGATGATGGACCAAAGAAGATTAATGAAAAAACCAAGAAATACCAAGAAATTAACCAAAAAATAAAAAAAAAATACGAAGAGCAAGGAGACATGGATGCAAGAAAAATGTAAACTGATCGAAGAGCTCCAAGTGAAACACGATCATATAAATATTCACCGAAAGATTCGAGAAGCCACTGGTCAATATAAGAGGAGAAACACACACCTACTCATAAACAAAGACGGGAACCTGGCGACGACACTTAAGGAGAAGTTTGTGACCTGGAAAATGTACATCGAAGAACGTTTATGGGATTACCGAGGTAAACTTCCAGAAATAAATTACATGACAGGGCGTCAATATTACTGCAAGGTGAAAGCAGCTTTAAAACAGTCTAAGAATGATAAGGCCACAGGCCCGGATGAAATAACCGTTGAACTTATTATGAGTGAAGTGAGCACAAAGGAGTTAACTGAACTGTTTAACGCCATATACGATTCAGGTAATATCCCAGAGGAATGGCTGTTGTCAACATTTGTAACACTACCAAAAAAAAAAACGATCTGCGAAAACGTGTGAAGATTTCCGAACTATCAGCCTTATGAGTCATGCACTTAAGATTTTTCTTAAAATCATACATGCCAGAGTTTACAAGAAATGCGAAGAAAATGTCGGTGAAATGCAATTTGGATTCCGCAATTCCATGGATACACGTGAAGCACTTTTCACCGTACAAGTCCTACTTCAGAGATGCCGCGATGTCAGTTGTGATGTCTATATTTGTTTTATTGACTACGCCAAGGCGTTTGACCGTTGTCAGCATCAGAAGATGTTCGCCGCCCTACAAAGAGTAGGATTGGATGAGAAGGACATTCGAGTCATCACAAATTTATACTGGAACCAGAGCGTGCTTAAGTCAAGGTCGAAGACCAGCTGACCCACCAAGTAAAGATCATGCGAGGAGTGAGGCCGACTCTTTTGAATATATACCTAATCTGAAGAAATTTTGAATGATCGCCAACATCCGGACCGGATAAGACACTGAAGAAGAAGAATAAGAAGAAATTTTTACTGAAGCCCTCACAAACCTAGAGATGGGAACCGAGTGAACGGTGAATACATCAATAATATCCGCTACGCCGATGACACTGTGTTACTAGCAACCAGCCTAAATGATCTACAAGCCTTACTAGACCGAGTGAGAACTAAGCGTAGCATACGGACTAGACCTTAATATTAAGAAAACTAAATTCACGGTTATCTGCCGTGCAAATTTAGATCCCGGGGCACTAATGGCAAATAGCGAAAAGATACAGAGTCGACATATTCACTTACCTGGGAACTAGCCTCAAATCACAATGGGACTATGCTCAAGAGATTAGATCTAGAATTGAAATGGTACGGAGTTAAAACGTAGACACTGACGCAAGCCACAGAAAAGCAGATTGAAGCCTTCGAGATGTGGATTTACAGAAGGATACTAAAAATCGTATGTGGACCATGTCACCAACGTTGAGGTCCTACAGCGCATGAGAAGAGAAAAAGAAGTGCTTAATTTAGTGAAACAACGTAAGCTTGAGTACTTAGGGCACGTGATGCGTAAAGAAGAAAAATATCAAATTCTTCAACTCGTTATGCAGGGTAAAGTATTTGGCAGGAGAGGACCGGGACGCCGTCGTATCTCGTGGTTAAAAAACCTCCGACAATGGTTTGGGAATACGTCCGCAGAGCTGTTTCGGAGAGCAGTCAACAAAACCATGATAGCCAGGATAAGGCACTAAAGAAGAAGAAGAAGAGAAAGCGGTGTGAAGATAATATGGATGAGGACGCAAGAAATCTCCCTGGTAGTCCATCGTGGAGGATAATGGCTTCAGACCGTAACGAATGGAGAGGTTTGCTGAGGCCAGGGCTCGAATTGGGAGTTTACATAGAGCCATAGGATGAAGGTTGGATAAAGAATAATCACTTATTTTTTAGAAAAGATAGAATCAACTTTTGAGATTAATAAAATATTTATCCATGACTAGATAATTACGGCACGTCGAAATAATCTCCAACGAATTGCCCAGTGGCAAGATTCTGGAAAGAGTACAAAAGCAAGACTAAAGAAAACATGGGTATCATCTATGTATACTGATATTAGATTAGCATTAGATATTACACTGTATAACAGTGTAATATGGTCAATCAAATGAAAGCATAGGAGGGCGTAAATAAATATATTAAAATGTACTATACAGTACCGAGAAAAAAAAACACGTGTTCAAAAAGTCGACTTATTTTTTTCAAATAGAACCTACCTACTTAAGCATCTAGGTAACGTCTTCAAACCCAATAATAAAACCAAGAAAACTATGAATTAAGTATACATTAACGGTATTATTAAGTATCAACAATAATAATATATAAAGCATAAGAAATAATAGAAATATATTTGAAAATAATAATACAAAAAACTTATTTCACAATACAACAAATACTTTAATCATCTTTTTTCTGTTTCTTTTCAGGAGATCCTTCTTTTGTCTCTCCTGATGATCTCCTTTTACTGGCTTTTTCAGGTTTCTTCTTGGGTTTCTCTTCTTCTTCTTCCTCTTCATCATCATCATCGTCGTCGTCCATCTCTTCATCTTCATCGCTATCTGGTTTTTTAGATCCTAATTTTTCTTCGTAATTACTAACGTTCTTTTTAATTTTACTGGCATCTGGACTATAAGCCCATAATATAAGCTCAAGATGTTCTTTGGTTGGTAAATCGTCTTCCCACATATCTGGGCGACTCTCTTCCATGGCCTTTAATAATTTCTTAATTTCCACATTTCTTACAATGTCCCAAGAGGGTTTTCCTTCACCACTCAACACAGTTCTGAGATTTTTATATTCGCCTTTGGCTTTCTTGGTGTATGCTTCTAAAAATGCTTCTACTAATTTATCCTTAATATCGAATTTTTCTTTTAGAGGTAGTAATGATTGAACTGAGGCAAGGGGCAGGTATGCTCTGTTTTCTTTTGACATATTGTTGATTTCGAAGTCTCTAAGGAAGTCCTCAAATACTTTGACGGCATCATTTATGTTTTGTATCTTCTCTTTGTCCTTTGTTACTAAAAAAAAAAACGTGTATTAGTATAATATATTAGCCTATATAACTTAAAAAGTAGTGAAATTGTTTATTTATTTTTAATGTAGGGGACATCTATACTAAAAGCTTTAAATCAATGTTAGCTGCAAATACAAAAATAAATTTATGTTTTTAATCCTTTTTGTTGCTTTGTCTATTATTATCTAACTTGGACGGTAATGCTGATAAGAATGGAAATAAACAATTTAACAAAAGTTCAATATGCGTTTTTTGCCTATAAGATAAAAAATAATATTTCTTTATTGGTATTTGATTTTCGATGTCTATGTGGATTTTTATTTACTTTTGCAATTACCAATCATTAAGAGACATTATTTAAATCGCAAAATGCAATGGCGTGCTATAGGAATGCTTCACGCTGGCAAATGTCAAAGAGACGTTGCTGAAGTCCTCCATACGAACAGAAGTGTCATTAATCGTTTGTGCTTAAGGTCTCAAGAAACTTGTGATATTGCTAAACGTCATACAGGCCGTACAAAAATAACCAACCAGGTTAAAGACCGTTTTACTATGTTACAGGCTTTGCGAGAACGCACTGTAACTCCATCATAATTACAAATAAGGCCGTAAGAGACCCATCAAGTGTTTGTAAGTGGCCAAACTATTAGAAATAGACTGCATGAAGTAGGGTTAAATGCTCGAAGACTTGTGAGAGTGAATGTTTTATCCAAAGGAACGCTCATTGACTTCAGTGCGCACAAGAACATGAAAATTGAATCAAATGTGAGTGGGCCTTTACTTTGCTCACAGATGAGTTCTGATTTGGATTTCCACCAAATACAAGGCGGACAAGAATGTGGAGATGATCTGGCAATGCTGAACGATTGGTCACCGTGCAGGAGGTTCATAGACAGCAAGAAGGCAATATAATGGTATGGGGTGGCATCATTCTTGGTGGAAGAATCAATCTCGTTTATCTGGAATGGTTTCTAAATACAACAGACTACCTCGATATTATTCTTGAACCTATTGTTGCACCCTTTGCATAACAAACTAGTCTCTAATTTCAATTAATGCACGACAATGCGTGTCCGCCTATTGCTAAGGTCGTGCGAACATTCCTCGAAGATAATAAAATTGAGGTTTTATCATGGCCTGTACAATCCCCAGTTTTAATTCCAATTGAACATATATGGGACATATTGGGTAGACGCATTTTACAACAAAATATTGCGTTCATTACAAGACAGCAACTGTTTGGGGGCCTTTCAATGGAGTAGGGCAGAATACCTCAGCAAAACATTGACCATTTGATTTGCCATACAGATTTAGGACAATAATCAACTACCGTTGAGGTTATACATTATAGGGGGAGGTCTGGGACAAGGGAGGTGTGGGACATTTTAAATTCCCCACCTTTATATGTGAACTATCAGTTCTGTACTTTCTCACTCGATGTATTGCTGGTTGTAGCATTTCCTATTTGTTTAATCTTGTAAAAGCACATGTGTTGTGATCAAGAGATAATTGAATTGATTTTCATTTTTAAAAGGTACGAATTTAACTTGTTTGTAAATTATTTTTTCTAATTATTATAACATTTTAAGGCAACATAGAAACCAATATGATGATAAGCTTTTATTCAAGTTTGTAAATTATATAATACAAAACCCTGGGGCACCTTGAGGTTATGTTTTTTCACTGATTTATTGTAAAATGCTCCACTGGGAGGACTGGGACATAGCATGCGCCCTGTTGTATTATTTTTAATTTGATATTATTTCAATTCTTTTAATAGTATATTTTTCCTTTGTTATAGTGTAATATGCCTCATAAGTGGAAGAAGAAAAATCCTGAGAGGACTGCTCTCAGGTAGCAAAGACTTATAGTATTTCAAAATCGGCTCTTCAACGCCATTTGAAGAAATATGATGAAGCTCCCAACAAAGAATGCGTTGTTTTTTGTTCTAATTTGATATGTGGTATGGTATTCTCTGAAGAGCAAGAATTGGCTCTAGTAGAATACATCCTGGCTCCAAGTAGAATGCATCATGGTTTAACATAAGTTCAGGTCAGAATTCTAGCGTGGCAATATGCAAGTGCCTTGAAATGTAGAAAAAGTAGGCAATTTATGGAAAGTTAACCAAATGGCACGATGTGACTGGTTCAAAGGCTTGATGGAACGCTACAAAGAACTTTCGCTACGTTTTCCAGAAGCTACAAGTCTAGGAAGGGCAACTAGCTTCAACAAAACCAATGTTGATATGTTCCTAAATAACTTAACAACTATCTATGAAAAGTAAAATCTCACCCCAGATCGTATATTCAACTGTGACGAAACAGGAATAAGTACAGTCAATATTCTACCCAAGGTTGTGGCTAAGCGTGGTGAAAAACAAGTAGAACAAGTGACATCGGCTGAAAGGGGGAGCAAATCACTGGCCTTTTTTATAGTAAATGCAATAGGAAACGCTTTACCACCTGTACTTGTGTTTCCCAGAATCAGATATAAGGAGTTTTTCTTAAATGGTGCTCTTTTTATAGTAAATGCAATAGGAAACGCTTTACCACATGTACTTGTGTTTCCCAGAATCAGATATAAGGAGTTTTTCTTAAATGGTGCTCCTCCAGGCAGCATTGCACTAACTAGCAAGACAGGTTGGATGTCAAGTGATCTTTTTAAACAGAGTCTAGAACACATAATTCATCACACAAAATGCACTAAGGAACAAATAATATTGTTAATTTTAGACAACCGCGAGAGCCATATGGGTTTAGAAGTGATAATGACAGCAAAAGAAAAGGGAGGTATACTTTTAACGTTTTCAACACAATGTAGTCACAGACTACAACCCCTCGATGTTTCTGTTTTTGCCCCATTTAAAAGTCAATATAACAGAGTTTGTAATGATTGGCTACTGCATCACCCAGGCAAAACCATATCCATAGGTGATCTTGTGGGGCAAGCTTACCCTTTGACTGTAACGCAGAAGAACATTATTGCTGGTTTTCAAAAGACTGGCATCAACCCTTTCAACAGTGAGCCATTCACCGAAGCAGAATTTCTAATGTCTTCAGTAACTGACCGACCTCCTCCATCTGCACAAGCTAATGGTACTTCTTCGTCAGCAGAACAAGAATATCCTGACATTTACCATACATCCAGTTCACATCATTCCTCAAAAGATTCTTCTACATCTTTTAAAAAACCATCAACTTCTGAAGACTCTAACGGCACTCCAGAACTTATAATGCCAATGAAAATCCTGATTACACCTGAGTAAATCCAACCATTTCCTAAAGCTGCACAATGCAAAGAAGCTCGAAGAGGAAGGAAGAGAGGCAGAAGTCGTATTTTAACTAGTACACCAGAGAAAGCAGAGGCCGAAAGATTAGCTCTCGAGAGAGAGAGAGAGAGAAAGGAAGAAGTCTGGTAAATTATCTGTAGCCATCCGCAATATATCTAATAAGAAGAAAGTTTGTGAAGATTCTGAGTCTTCGTCCGAGGAAGTACAAATTCCATATCAAGATACAGATGATGATCAAGAAATATCTCAGAGTTCCGGGGAGGATGAAATGGAAGAAATAGATTGGAATTATAGTGGGGTCCGAATGTGGGGTACAATAGCGTTATTGAGAAACAGGATATATTGCTTAAATTGCCTGCACCAATATCATCTGGAGGTACAGAGAGAGTAAAATCATTGTTTGTATTTCCGGTTAAATTGTCGAAATACAATGTACAATAAATAAAAGTTTCTATTGTATTGAAAAAAAAAAACATTTATTACATTCTGTCCCGGACCTCCCTACTAGTGTCCCACTCCTCCCAGTGGTATGAGTGGTATGGGACATTTGCAGCTCCTCACACTATCCATTATATTTCATTTTAAAAGAATACCTATATCAGCCATTTTTTTTAAATTGAGTAGGCTAAAGGGCTATCTAACATATAATAGCATTATTATTTCACGATGAGTTAATAAATAATTAAAAAAAAATATTATTCAAATAGTGTCCCACACCTCCCACTTCTCCCCTACTAACATAACCCAAAGATTATTTTTTTTAAATGTTTATTTTTTTGTTTTTTACAGCATATGTTTTTTTATAAGCTATATTTTTTGAGATATTTGTGAAAAACCGTATGAAAACGTGATTTTTATTTTGAAAAATGAACCTTTTCATTTGCAAATAACTCTAAATAGTGAACAAACTCTATAAAACAAAATTTGCTGATAATTAGTCAATTTATCCATTCCGGGACTTCCATAATTTTGAAAGTATGTTTTGATATGATTATTGAATATGTTTTGAACCCCCGAGAGGGGGTGACTTTCACCTGCCAAGAAAAATCCAAAAGTGAAGTAGAAGGTAAGAGAAATCTAAATCCAAATTGTCAAGCAAATTCATCGTGACAAGGTAAATTACAGTACAAAGAGGTCATTTACTGAAGTATATGTAAGTTAGCTTAATATAAAAATATTTGAGCTACTGTCATCTTTATTTATATAACAACTTGTTTTATAACAGTAAAAAGTATAAATATGTATTTAGAATTTTCCAGGTTTTCTCTGCCCTCCCCTGTAAATATGACATCAGCCACGTATAAAATAATAATTTTATAAGTTTTAGTATTCGACTTACTATCTTTTAAGTATACCTCTTACAAGTTTTAATTATATAAATAATATAAATTATTAAAAGACAATCGGGTCTGATTACCTCCTTTTTTTACTTAATTATTTTTAAGTTCAAATCTTTCTGACAAAATTCTACTTATCAACTGTTTTGTTGTTTCCCTTTTTACATAAAATCAGATAAGATTTATTCATTATTTATTTTACTACGTGTACCACCAAGTACATTGAAATTATTTATTATATATGTACAACGATTTTTAACAAATTTTAAAATAATTTTATTCCAATTCGGTGGATTACTAGAATAATAATGTTCATTTGTTAATGACAAAATGTGAAGGCAATAATTATTTATAATAATTTGCATATTACACAAGAAC